AGAAACATTCAGCAAGAGCATGGAGTTATTCTGAGATTTCCTATTCAAGGACATTATCTCAGCGTGGCATAGAAATTGTATGACCTTGCTCAGCTCTGTGCGTCATGCCGAGACCGGGTGAGATAAGACACGAACCCGGAGAATTCAGAATATCATCAGAGATAAAGAAAACTGTAGATGGAGGCGACATGCAGATTAGAGGACGTGAAACATTAGTGGTCATTTTATTTACAGGTTATGCCGAAAAAGCGAGAACAATGGTCCAGATTATCTACAGGAAATGTTAGAAAAAGTTAAGTTAATCTCTATTTCCGGTCGTCCTGTCAGTCCTGAAGTAGCTTTTTACAAGAATTTATACAGAAGGTTTGTTGCAGTTACTTTAGCATGTACACCTTTTTCAGTGTTTTGAACATCAAAGAGAAACATCCCATTTTGCACATGAGAAGGTTTAGCAGTGGTGTGTGCACCCTTTTGTTTGCTTCTTTTTCTGTTGTACCATTATAATACAATAGAAAGCATGCATTTTTCATATTGATGTTAAATAAATGAGTTCTATCGAGGTGTGTAAAACATGGAATTATCACAGTGTTAGCCAACAGGAATTTCATCATGGTTGATCTTGTGCTGAGAGATGCACTGAAGTCCGTATACGTGACTTGGGCTTTCAACACATCGGTGCTGGTGATCCGCGAAGAGTCGTACAATTACTTTTTCGTTTTCCCATGGGATGAATCTGAGCAGCAAATTTACTCACTTCATGAACAGCAGACTTTGGATTCTTGTGCCGTTATCAAACTTTCTCTCAACGCATATGTATACGTGCTGCTTGCTGACACTCAGCGACCACGGACGCAGATGGAGTTTCCTTCTAAGGAGCTGGCGGCTGTCTGCAGGTTGTGTGCTGTCTCCACCAACCACATCCATCACTTTGAGGCAAAAGCAGGGAGGGGAACAGGAGACTTTTAGCAGGGGCCCACTCCCAAAAAAAAAACTGTCGCTCATACTGCTGCTCTCGGGGAGGATGCGGTTACTTTCAAGGAAGTACATAGTAGTCAGGGGTTTCTAAACTGGTAATCCTTACATCATACCCTCTGTTGGTCTGCTGTTTTTCTAAATTTGTGTTCTGGGGAAAAAGACAAACTATTTTAAAAGCCATTCTTTATCCTCATTGTCACTTTGATTATGCAGGCGGAGTGACGATAAACAAGTCAACCCGCTGAAACACTCATGTAATGAATAGCTCTACCTGTGCTTGAAAAAACATGTTCACCGGCACGATAATGTGAGGACACACCCTGAGCTGATCGGCAGATGTAAACACACATGCAGACACACCTGCTTGGTATGAGTCACACCAAGTGTGCAGTGCCAGGAGAGGGCATGAGCTCATCCTGTTGGTTCCTGCACGTTCTCTTCTGTCCCAGTCTTTGTCTTTCCACCTTTCCCATCTGCCTCTTCCTTTTTTCACCCGCTTCACATTTTGGTCCCCCATTGTGTGTGTGTGTGTGTGTTTGCGTGCGTGTGTTTGTTTGTTTGTGTGCTCATTCCCCCGCTCCCATCCCATTTTGGTTGTGGCTTCTTCTCTATCATCAGAGGCAGGAAGGGGTGTGAGTTTGTTTGAGTGTGTCAGGTGGGTTGTTGTTGTTCACCTGGTGGCCAGTTAAAAAGGCAGGGCCATGTGTGTGTGCATGCATGCGGACGTGCGTGCATGCGTGCATGTGTGCTTGTAGGAAGGGATTATAGTCAAAGCAGCCAGTGTGAGAAACAGGAGATGCAAAAGAAGCGTGAGAACATTACCTGGAAAACAGCTGGGAATTTCTAGTGAACAAGTTGACCAAGCACACATGCATATAGTTACAAACACAGACACACAGTAATAGATGAAGAGTAAGCAACAGGCAAACCCCCTTCTGTCACACACACACAAACACACACACACACACACACACACACACACACACACACACACACACATACAAAACATGCTGGGTCAAACTCAACTGGTGCTTCCGTACTGACTCATTTATTATTTGTATCACAGTCTGGGAACCTCTTGGAAAGTTCTCTTTAAGTTATCAGGCACAGAACTTCATTTAATTCCTGTAATTTTGAGAAAGAAATTATTCTGAATGAACCAAACAACATTATGGGTTAACTAATTCACAAATAACTCCCACTTTCTAGCAGCACTATACCCTCTCCTTCTACACTTGGACTGTCTTAATGAAGACTTTGCTGGTTTTGCAAAGTCTCAAATACTGATTATATGTTTATATGAAGTCTGACACAAGTTCTCTACAGTATACATTTGTTTTTATGCTCAAAGTGATGGCTGGAGCTACTTTTTGTTTTTCAGGTTGTTTAATGGTCCTCTTCATTCTAAAGAAGCCGATATCGTTTCTTCAAATTTGGCATCAACTGTTAAGATGAACTGATTCAACTCAAATGAAAACATCTTTGTGAATATAACTGAAGAATTCCAAACTTCTCAAAAATGTCTTATTTATATCACTGATGCAAACTGCAGTTTGACTAGTTGGCAAGAAAAACCAAAGGATGTCAATTCTAGCTGTTTGTGTGACGGTAAATAAAGTGGATGGGAAGAAACCGCTTCTGCATTCTCACATTACACTCGAAAGAGGAAGTAATCCCTTGTTTACTGCAGGTTTGCTGGCAGAAAACACAGAGAGGATGACTCGACTGTGTTAATGTGTTCCAGGGCTCCAAGCGTACAGTTAAACACTCACAAGTGTAAAACGGGAGCGCCGTAACTCGAAGTATGAACTCTGTCTCTCTTGTGAGCCTGTCATCTATTATCTTTCACACAATATACAAATATGGTAAAAAAAAATATTGCTGAATGCAGACGTGCATATTCCTTCTTATTATATCTGTGGGAAACATCCAGGATGTTGAATATGGATGAATCCATGCAGCACCTGACTGCATCTACAGGGAGCCTTGACAAAGACTGATTAAATCCAAATAGTTCAGTGATAATTACAGAAGAGAGATTCGTATTTAAAAGTTTGAGTTGAGAAAATATTACAAATCTTAAATATCTAACAGTGCACGCCAGCGTTCCCTTTGGAAAGGTCCGTTTAAAACATGGTAACAACAACAAACAGATTTGGAGCTTTAAAAAACAGAGAAAGGTACAAAAAACAATGTCAAAACATTTATTTAGATGAAATTGCATAAATGTGACTGTTGTAATGTTCCGTGCCTACAAACCAATTAGTCATCTGCATGTTTATCATTAATGATGCAGAGTACACTGGCTAATCCAACCTTAGTAAATGAGTGAACAGGTTTGCATTATAGCACAAGGTATTCCTTGTTTTCGTCTGACATACAGCCTGTAACAGATCACTACACATGTTATTAAACACGAATCACTAATATGACACGCAGTCAACACATGTCACGCGTGAATACATGTGCCATGCTAGTGACACTGAATTTATTGCAGCATCTGCAATGTGACGTGCTTCTGTTTTGCATAGACTTCACTTCTAGTTAGGTAACATTGTGACTGTATTTTTGTTCTTTTTTTTGTCTATGTTGACATGAAAATATGTTGCATGTTGGCCAAAGATGGTCACATGAACCAATTAAAGCCTGACCGTTGTGGGGGACACATCCACAAATGGCCACAAACTGTGCAAGCTTTTAAAATCACCCACACACGACCACTAATGCAGCGGTGGTGTCCCGGACAGCTTTCCGGAAGCGAGCCATTTCCTGTGGAGCGGCTGCAGGTCCCTGCCCATAAGCCTGATGACTCCCTGGGGTAACTAGATATTTTATGTTACTCATATGGACCTATTGATTGTTGAACAAACATGCTGCCTCAACCCCAGCTGATACGAATGCATATTCACATGCACCCACAGGGCAAGTATGCAGATGATATTCACAAACAAGTTCATTGACTTTGCATTATCTTACTGTAACTGTGATTTGCATCTTTATCGTGGATGCACATGCCAGTTTCCCGTATTGCTGAGAGGCTTTCTTCCGTGTACAGCGTTTTCAGCACACAGTAATAAAAGCCGGACTGTTTTTATTTCCCCTCTCCTTCTCTCAAGTGACAACATGACTCTTGTGACAGCAAAGAACAGAGGAGAAAGGGAGGGACAATTGGCCTGCAGCTTTACGCTTTATCCCTTCTTTACTATTTAATGAGATAAAGTACAGTCTTTAATTAAACGTTAGGAGCAAGTCAAGCAAGAGGGAGAACAGGAGCAATGAGCACTTCGGTGATGGATGAGATTTGGTTTACAGGGAATAGGTGTATGTCACACTTTGGTCTCTACAATTTTGCTCTCATTAGCCTTGTAGCCTCTGCTTATGCTGTTGGGACGAGCGATCTACCTTCAGGCTATCATTCTGTTTCTGCCTCTCTCGGTCTACCTGTGCATTTCTCTGTAACCCGCCCCTTCTTTTGAGCTTTATGACTTGCTCTGCAAACATGTCATATCCCTACAACTGCACAAACAACTACCCCTTCCCTTCCAGACACACGACTCGTCACAGTAGACAATCACACCTATTTCTCAGCATTAATTACCCATTTAATTAGCAAATCTTTGAGAATGTATAATCCGATAGCATATGGCTGAGGGTGAGAAATCTTTCTTTTACTACTGTGTCATTTATCCCCTCCCAGTTACAGGGGGGCTGTTTCAACATGCTGGTCTAATTACCATAGCTGGGGGTGGGGACTGGGAGGAAAGCATAGAAAAACAATAACAATGCTAATGCTGGAGGCAACACCAGATTAGGCCTACACCCGGTTTCTGACGCAGTCTTTCTCAAAGAGAAGCATGGATTTACATACACTCAGAGAACACAAGGGGAGAAGTGAAAGACAAGTGAGATATACAGTATCCACTCTTCACTTTTCTCATTTATAATGAGCTTTCCCTGTTAAACTGGCAGGAAACATCCTGCGCTTATTCATGCAGGGTGTGAAAGAGAACAGCAACAGAGAGAAATAGCTTTCTTAAATATTATTTATTGCATGTGTCTATAAAGAATCAACACTGTCTAAAGCAATGAACTAAGTTTAAATTATCATTTAGTAGTATCACAATGTGCATGATATGAAATATTTACAATGAAAAGCCACAGCAGAGTAAGCCATTGCCCATATCGCAACCTTGATGCTGAATTAAAAACTGGAAACATTATCCAAATGCAAAAAACACTGCTCAAAACACCAACAGGCTCGATTAGCAAAAACAAGCAGGAAAAAGTTTCCGTTTCAAAATTGAAGGAAAAAAAATGTACAAACAGCAAAAATTTGAATTAAGGTTTAACAAACATTATTAACAGTATTTATACATTTGGTTCGTCCTTGTAAACTAATTTCTTTTTAAAAGTGTAAATATTGCATATAAGCCATTTGTGGTGTACCTAAGTATCAAGAATTAATTATGTCAAGTATTATTGATTTCTTTAAAATCTTTTTTTTCTTGTTTTTGTTTTTTAGAATTACAGCATTAGAAAATGTCGTCATAGTGGCATCCACTTTACAAGACCATCCCAAATCAGTTTTTTAAAAAAAAAAATCAAAACCAAACCATACTGGTTAGCGTTATAACTTAATTAGTGCTTCTGTTGTATCAGAAAGTTCACTCAAATATTTAACTATGTACATTAAAAATAACATAAGTTATCTAACTTAACACTCGAAGTTTCTCAGGATTTGCTTACACATTTTCGATGTAACGCTGCGCTATTTACAGTATATAGGCAAAGGTTAAGTACCTGTGAGTTCAGATAAATAATAAGATACTTCCCCTGGTTTCTTTCGTTTATTCGGCTTGTGTCTGTGTTGTAGTTCCCATTCGGTACCTCTGCATGTTTCACTGTTGCTGTTGTTGTGTTCGTCGGGTTGCGCGCTCCCAGTCTCGGAACACAGTATGTACTACATTCAGTGTGTCCTGTGTTACAATCTAGACAAGTTTGTAAATGCAAGACCATGCAGTGGAGGCCATGGATTCAAGCTATCGAGTGGCTTTTTGAACAGCCAGTTAGACTCAGTCCTGCATGTACCACATTGCTCAGTGCTGCCTGGCGTGGTGTGACAGAGCTCCACAATGAGGCATCAGGTGAGAAAATGTGAGACACTGGGCTGTCCAGTTGCTCTGTATAAATAACTTCAAACATTCACGTTTCAGTCCCTTGTCCTGTCAGGTGTGCAGGATATTTTAGGTGAACGGCGGGTGAGTTGGTGTAGTGTTTAAAAGGTGCTGAGACTCTTACTCAGACAGGCCACATTTCACATGATCAGGTCCAGGTGGACCTGGCTCATGCTGCAGTTACATTTGTCACAGCTGCATGCATTTGCAATGCAACGTCACCTATTTCTCCAACATCCTCCAAGTATTATTTTAGTGTGTATGAATACCTCCATTTAAAGGTACAATAATAAATATATTACTCTGGATTTCTAATACATAATCTAGTCATAAATGTGGGGAGAGAGGGAACTTAATCTCAGAGAGGTCGGCTCTCATTCGGCTCTAATGAACATTCAGTCTCTGTGATGATCAGTTAAATCTTTGATATACTGCGTGTTTAGAGGTCCAACCTAAAAAAAAAGAAAAGAAAATCCATCAGGTGGGGGCTGATGGCTGGAGTAAGGCTTTGGATCGGTGACTTTTTAAAAAACATTCACCTTTGAAAATAAATATTTTATATATATATATATATAGAATTCTACTGTGTAACTTGGTGCTGAGGTAGGGTTTATTTTTTTTTAGCAAATGTTACCTTTGATTTTAAATATGTTCATAAATGCCGTCTCTTTTTGCAGTACAATCTGTTTACAAATTCTCAGACATTTCAATGAATGCATACACACATACACGATAAATAAATAAATACATGTCATCTGTATGCATGAAGGGTTTTGCGTGCATGTTTGCGCACGCATGCTCTCCAAGTTTGGTTCACAGGTTTTCAGGTGTGAATGTCTGGCAACTACTGGTCGAAGCCATTAGAAAGCCAGTTGAAATTGTATAATTGATAATAACAATACCAGCGATGAACATAGTATACTGCAGGCTGACGTACCTAGACACATAGTTACCTAACTATGCTTAGAATTAAAAGTCGGTTTTTAGTTTTCTGTTTGTTTAAATCTAGCACTACAGCAGCAATGGCACCAGAATGTTTAGGTGCCACAAAAAAGGAGGGAGGGTCAAATGTCCGTGTTTCCATGGCGATGGCTGTCCCCGTAACCCCCAGAGGCGGCAGAAGGGTCAAAGGACATGGGCTACAGCACAAGGTCCAGCTGTCGCTCTGGCGACCTCGGCATCTGGCTGAAGTGAAATCCTACATTCACAGGAAGAAGAAGAGGAGGAAGGGGTGGGGGGGGGAGGCAAGTTGGGAAGACCCATCAGCCTTCATTCTGAAAGAAGAAGAAGAAGAAGAAAAGAGTTAGTTTCTTATCATGTAATTTATAGAAATGAAATGAAATATAAGTTAAAAAAAAGTCAATATTCCCCCCAGTAACTTAATCTAAGCGTGTACATACAGTTTGCATCATTTATTATGTAGGACAGAACAATCGAGGGGAGGGGAAGGTCACTCTGCTACCAAGTAAGGAATGAGTGCATTTCAAGAGTACAAGAGTATGTATGAGTATGTGTGTCTGTGTGTGTATTCCTCAGCTGGTAGACACTCAAGTGGCAGGTGCTTTTACAGCAGGGGAAAAAAAAGCAGAGTGGCATTTAGCACTGTGCAGCTGAAACAGGCCAGTGATGGCAAACGTCACGCCAACAACACTCCCACACACTAACAAACAGGTATTCTTAATTGCTCCCACACATACCGCAGCTATGTACTTTCAAATACCATGAACCCAGAGTCTTTGAGAGTGTTGCTTTTCTCCCAGTGGAAAGCTGCACTGACCCTTGCCCCTGTGTACATGTTTGTGAGGTTTCATTTGCATGCAGAGCTATCAAATGGGAGCGGAAGTCTTGGCTGGGTGACCCGCACACACACGCAGAGACACACACACACACACACACACGGTCTGTAGCTGCATTTCTTCCCTCATTTGCTGTCTCCTCTCCCTCTTCCCCAGTCGTGAACAAGAGCCGTTTTCACAAAGCTGGATGTGATCGTCATTCTCTAAAACAAACCTTTCATTCAGCCCTTGCAGCCCCCCTCCTCAGCTATTCTCACCGCAAACAGGCACACGTCTGTTCTGGGCTTTTTTCCCTATACATACTGGCTATAAATGTAAATTGATGCTGATCCTGATGTCCAATCAAAAGCTTCAAAAAAAAAAAAAAAAAAAAAAACTAAACTGGAAATGCCAGGGCACCTTTACTGCTGCTCGGGGACGTCTGTGATGCAAAACCGTGGAACCACTGAGTTCATTTGAATAACAGAGGAGATGATTTCACTCTTGAGGCTACCTGGCGCTGAGCGAGCTCTGTGTCTTTATCGCCACGGGTGTCAGAGGCAGAATACAGCGGAAAGGCCGTGTTGGGACGGGGTGGAAAAAACACAGTAACAGAATCAACCTGACAGAGAGGAACGGGAATGCAGTGAGGTCATGGGACCAATGGACCATAACAGTCAAGTGTGTGTGTGTGTGTGTGTGTGTCTGTTTCTGGAGGGGCTGGGCCAGTCGACGGCCTGTATAGGCAGGCACATAGGTGAGAATGACTGAGATCTGCCGGGAAGGACTGTTGAATCACTAACAGCTCAGATTAGCTGTTAGGTGTAGCCATGAACATAAACACACTTCCTTGTTTGTGGACAATCTTGCAAGTGCATATAGGGACTGCGCATACACACATTTTCTGTTCGAAACATGCGATTTAAATAGAATCTGAGTGAAGAAAGCGTGGGTGGGCAGGAAGATTTGGGGAGGGGGATGTTATTGAGAGAAGAGGACAGAGGTCTAATGGGGGAATGAACCCAATGGCTTCTACCCCTCCTCTTTTTGGAGCACAGACACACATTCCTCCTCCGCCCCTCCCAACAACTCTTGTCTGTGCCCCCTGTCCCAACCCACACACACACACACACACAAGCACATACACGCACGCACACACACACACACACACACATAGACTTGGGCTCTGTTCATTATTTATTTAGTTCTCACAGGCTAAATTTAGCTATGCTCCATTCAAGAATAAGACACACACACATACACACAGGCATGTATTAGCAGCCTCCTCTCTAGAGCTTCAGAGTCAGAGTAAACAAGTTACTCTGTCTGTAACCACCACAGACTTGAGTAGCTTGATGTTGTCAATGAGATAAATGAACAGGCTTTAAAGGGAACTACTCCAAACTGCAACTCTGAGCAACATTCAAGAGAAAGGAAGTGGACTGCAAACTGTTTTTGCTTTTATTGTGGGGTAGACTGGAAACGAACCTACAGACAAACAAGGAGAGATCAGCAGGCTCAGATCTGCTCTGTTTACATTCCTGCCCCACTACCTCCTCTCTAATCTTCAGTGAACAAACACTGACTGACTGACTTCACCTCTGACCTCCCACACCTTTGTCTGACCAGCTAAACAACAACAAAAAGAAAAACAATGCTGCACAACTCGGCAATCCAGCTGACTCACTATTGCATACAGAGCTTTGGCATTCCTCATCGTGTCACATTATCCACTTGCAGCAGTTCACGTGGATTATTGATTAATCCGGCAATTAGTTCCTCAGTAAATCATTTGGTCTACAAAAAAAGGTGGAGGGGAAAAAAAAAACACCAAAGCAAATCAGTTTCCCTAAGCTCCGCTGACACATTTGGATGTTTTGCTTAGCATGTCAAAAATGCAAAACCATTCAGTTTACGGTTAGCTCGAATATAATAATAATAATAATAATAATAATAATAATAATAATAATAATAATAATTGTGAGAATATGAAACTGCGTGTTTGTGAATTATTTCAACTACTCCTTTATAAAAGCACCAGAAAATAAAGCTTATATAATTAAGCCACTGAATATAACGAAACTAACAGTACGACTATCAGCTCTACAGAGGAGCATTAACAAACCAAGTGGGGAGGTCAGAAAGTTGGGAAAGAGTTCATGAGTAGCCGGTCTGCTTATGACGGGGGGGGAAAAAAAGGTATAATTAGCTAGCAGCCAAGACTAAACTCACTTAATGTGCCTTGTGGGTATAATTACCATAAAATGTCCACTCACAGTCACAGAGGATCTGTCTCTTCCTCTGCATTTAAAAACAAAAAGCAAAAAAAAAAAAAACACAAGCTACTAAACAATGCTTAATCCTGACCTGAATGTAATCCTTCTTACCTCCAAGCTAAACTGAGGATACGGGAGGTTAACTTTGTTTTCATCTAGCGCTAGAACATCCCGCCCTAGTTTGCTCAAAGAGTTATGTATCAGACAGCCTGGAGCACTGTGCATGTGTGTCTGTGTGCGTATGTGCGTGGGGAGGAGATGGGAGGGGTGTACAGGACAGGTGAGGACAGAGACTGTGGGTTCCTCAAAATGCTGCGTGGAGCCAAAAACCCGAGTAAAGGTATTCTCTGTGCACTTTCTACAGGAAATTCTTTATGTATATGATGATTCACAATTAATTTTATCAACAACAAAAAAAATGTCAGACATGAAGATGGCATACTTTTCCACCAGCTCATAAACATAACATAGTCCTAAGGCTATAACTGTTTATTATTTTTATGACTAACTCCTCTTTCTCATAGTGAAAACAGTCACCACTGTTTCCCAGAGCCACACATGACATCTTTTAAATGCACTGGAATTAACAAAAAAAAGCCATAAAAGTCGTAAAAAACTGCAGTATTTATGTAATGGATTTCTCCCGAGCAGCAAGAGAAGTAAAGTGTCTTGTCAGCTGCTCTACTCAGACATGATTAGCTAATTTTTTTAGTGCATTGTTAGGTAATCCTTTATGGCCTTCAACAATCAGACACGGCCCACTGAGGTCGCAAAACAACAGGAAAAACAAAAGGCCTGTGAACGCCCCAATATGGAGAAGGTGTGTGGCGTGGGGTGTCACATGATTACTGAAAAGAAAAACAATGCTTGAAGAGAGGAAGAAGGGGTTTGGGTTGGGGGAGGGATGCATTGGATGAGGTGGGGGGGGGTTGGTAGCTCCTTGAGAGTGCTTGGCCACGCCCACAACCTTCTCCCGTAGCTGTCGTAGCAGATGGCGGCCAGTCATTAGCGTATTGTCACTCTCCTCTGAAGGGCCAGATAACCAGTGAGCACTGCTTGGCGAGGCAGGTGCAAACCCCCTGACCCCACACCCAACCCCTCCACCATCTGCTGACGCCTGTGTGTGTGTGTACGCACATGGGAGAGGCACACAAAGTCAAAATGCGTGTGTCTGTATTTCGGGGGGTTGCAGGGGGGTCTGGGCCCACAAATGGAAAGCGTGAATCTTTCTCTGCTGTCTGCATTCATGCAAGACTGCTTACAGTCAGAGAGACGAGCACTCGATAAATGAGGACAGGTTAGGGAAAAGAAGACGGCAGGCGGATAATAAAGAGGCTTTTATAGTGATATGATAAGTGGCAGTGTAGATACTCTAAAAGTAGATATGAGGACGAGCCAAAAATAAAAAAAGCTGTAAAAGGAGTGCACGTGCCTCTCTTTTTCTTTAGATTAGTGGTAATGCTCCAGTGGTAACATCCCCCACTCACAAAAACTAGCCCAAAGTTCAAGAAGCTGACACTAGTCCAAAGCTTGCACTGAAAGCCACGCACCACACTGCGCCACTACCACCCCATTCTCTCTCTCTCGCTCCCTCTCTAACGCTTAAAATACACAAACTCAACTGAGCCATACTTTAGGATTTTCATACAGAAAGTCAAGCATTTTTATAACGCCCTCCCTCCGCTCAGCTTCCCCTTCACACCACAGTGCCAAATGAGGACAGGTGATTTCGTAATCTACCTGTGACAGTGTGATATACAACCGGGAATGCAAACTATGGTTCACTCAGTGATAAGGTGAGAATGTGGTATAGCCTGCCATCTTGTAGTAAACAGACGGGCCCTATTTTTCCTCTCGTATCGGAATGCTATGTATTTGGATGCGAGTATCAACAACTTTCCTCGCTGTTGTAGCCACATGTACTAAAGTTACCGAAGCAAAGGCCAGCAGCTGCTTGTTGGGAAGGCACTGATCTTTCTGTCATTCAGCATTTTTCTTCCATTCTTCCTTCTCACCCACTCTCTGCCTTCTGCCAGCAGCTCAATAGTCCATTTTGTTATACATGAAAAACAAAACAAGTCAACCATCCATCACCATTGTTCTTTCACCTCCCTCCTTCCTCCACCCCTGCTCTTCTAGCCTTGCACCACGGGTTAAAAAAAAAAAATTCCATAAAAAATTCCATAAATCCCATAAATGTACAGATCACAGTGAATTCTCACGGATACCTGTGCGTGCCTCAGGTGCACACGAGTCACATGTGTTCAGACAAGTCTCCTGTGTAAAAAAGAAAGAAAAAGAAACAAACAACAAAACCACCAGCTCATTTGACAATTTGTGAAGTTGCTCATAGTGGAAAAAAAGAACCCCTCCCCTCCTGATTTCATCCCAGCAGGTTAGAAAAACAAGTGAGCGTTCACCTCTCCCAGCAACCTTTGCACACTGCCCACATTCCAGTCCTGAAACCCAGTACCTGACAATTGATAAACAACTGACTCACTTGTTTTTCTGGGGAACCCGATGACTTGCACCGAGCTCCACACTGGCTGCGCTCTCACAGCAGGGATGCCAGCTGAGACAAAGAGACAACTTAGTTGTGAAACTGCAAACAGCAATTAAACTCTTGTATTTCACCATCAGGAACACTGACTCCTGAGTCACTATGATCTTAACACTTTGTATTTTCTTTAGAAACAACAGCAACTTCTGACATGTCCCTGCCATGTCATCCATCCGTGTAAATAATCCTTGGCATTTACAGATGGATGAAAAGCCCCTGATGCAGCAGAAAGAGGAAAGAAAATGAGGCGAAAGGTAATATTTTGATAACAACTCTTCCCCTTCGAGTCTCAGGGATTTTGCTGCTTATTCGTTTTGTTCTCTGAGGTCTGTGTAACACACCGTTTCAGATTTACCAATAGCGAGTGCTCTTTGCCGCCTTCGAGCGGCTTCCATAGAGGCATCATGTGTAGCGCTGCATGCGTCACTGAATCAGATCAGATGTTTTTTTGAAACACTGACGCGGTGCAAAACTGCGTCACTGAGAGGAAACCAGGACAGACCATTCACATAAACGGAACAGCAAACGTGAAGGCAGATAACCATAAGTTTTTAAAATAAAACCGTTTCAAAAAAAATGCGATGATGCAGAAAGATTACTTTTTAATAAAGGGGAGTTTGCGTCCTCTGGGATGTGTGGAGGGGAGGAAGACAAGGAGGCAACATGTTCCACAGAATGCATTTGTTATTCAGCATGCCGCACCGCTTTCATTCAACCGTCTAATTCAGGGCTTTTATTTGAGAGAAAATAAAAGCAGTTTTAAAAACAGGATCAACATCACAGCCTCGAGATTTGTCAGCGTGTCCTGGGTGTGACAAGTAGGTGACTAATCCTGTCTAAACATTACAGCCTACACCCAATAGCAATCTTGACAACTAGTTTGCTTCTCTAAGCTACTGTAGTTTACTACACCGGATTACATAAATCTGTAGGCTGTTATCTCGGATATTGCAGTGATGGTCAGTCACGATTATATGGCCACAAAAGAGCTTTCAAGAAAAATAAAGTGTCAGCTTTTTAACTCGCAGTGGAAAGGACAAACTGACAGCAAGGGGCAGACACACAGACGCTCCTGCAGACAAACGACTGAGGCTGTTTTTGTTCTCTAGAGGTAATTATCATCAACTTTGGGACTGAAAACGAGCCCAGAAGTGTTGCAAACAACATTACGTGTGGCCTATCTCTGCAGAGTACACAGTTGCCCTGAGGCGGATCTCTATCCTACTCCAACCCTGACGCCACTCCCTTCATGAATGAAAATGCACTGAATGAATGAGTGTGTGGGACATGTGTGACAATGCTCACCTTTCACAGCAGCAGCAGCAGTCTCCTTAAATCCCAGGCTGGCATAGGGGCTAGAGTTGAAACCATTCAGCCCCCCCTTGCAGCCACAAGCTGTCTTGAGCCTCAGGAGTTCATCACAGCCCCCTAACCGGCATCCCCCAAGGTTTCCCTCCATCAAGTTTAAGGCAATGTAGTTAAGTCCATTTTGATAGCCAGCTGACGTTTCCCTGCACATGGGACTGCTGTACTCCTCACCGAGTCCTTCAGAGCTACGAACTGTGCGAGATACGTTCTCCACAGAGGCAGAGCTGTGCCGTTTAGTGTCGTTGGCAAAGGATGGGCACACGGGTGTGACAGTGGTTGTGGAAGAGAAGGTCTCAGAACTGTGACGACGACGTCCGTGAGGGTCGGCCCGGATAACTTTAGCCCCCCTGTGTGGATCTACAACTGTAACAGATAATGAAGGACCTCCCTTGAGAAAAGAGTCCACGGGCACAGGGGGCATCACATCTACTATGCTGCTCTCAAGGCTGAGTCTCTGGACACAAGCAGTAGGGCTGGTCGGGCGGGGAGTTGTGCATAGAGCAGGTAAAGGGTCAGAAGGACTAAAGGTCATCTCAGTGTAGTCGTCACTGAATGGACCAGGCTGACACTTAAGGCTTCCTTGCTGTGGAACACCCCTCTCCTTTTCCTGTCCCTCTGTGCTTTTATCTTCCTCCACCTCCTCCTCTTCAACTCCCTGTGTTTCCTGCTGAGTGGTAACTAGACTATGGCATGTCAACAGTTCAGCTGTGTCTGTACAGTTAGTTTGGTGTGATACCTGCTGAACCGTGGAGCTGACATCAATATTAGCATAGCCTGAGAGTGACCGGGATCCCGTCTCTGCGGTTACAGAGGACTCAGGGCTCTTTGACTCTGTGGTTGTGTTGTGGTTAACACTGCTAAAGTCTATGTTAATGTATTCTCCGGGGCTGCGTGGCTCTGAAGGAAGAGGGTGCTCACTCATGCATGGTAGTGTTTTGAGGGATTCCAAAGCCAAGCGGGTAGGCCGACAGACTCTACTCCGGTGTACCAGACCTCCATCTATCCAAGCCACTCTGAGAGGAGATGGAGTAGAAGATGGAGTGGCTGGTCTTGCCACAGTGCCATTGGTTGCAGAGTTTCCTGAAGAGATAGGACAGTAGTTGGATTCCTCTTCTATCCGTTGTCTCTGTAAACTCATCACCACATACTGATCTGTGTCAGTGGACCCACTGCGCTGCAAATGTCCTTTAAGTGATCTTGGTAGAGAACTGCAAGAATAAGGCTGCCTGTGGCTTGGCGGGAGGCTGGGATCTCCTGTAGGACTGAGAATATAATCTGGGGGTGTAAAAGACACCTGTGTGTCAACAGGAGACATATTCAGGTATTCTCCATTGGCGAGCTTCCCATCGTTGCTGTCCACTGACATCTTGGTTGCACACCACATGGGCATGTACCCACTGTCCTCCAGAGAAACACCCCCGGGGGAGTGTATGCGCGTGGCCAGCCCCATTGAGGAGGGTTTTGTACAAGGGTTGATGATTTGCTTTGGAGCAGATACACACATAGGGCTCATGGGCATGTAGGGGTCATCCTTAGACCCGGGTGTGAGAGGAGCCACACCAGGCATCATGGGCATATAGCCACTGTCGCCTTGGTGACCATTTGAAGCAATCTGAACATCTCTGTAATCCTCCAGACTTATCCCTTTAGGAGACGCGGTGTGACACCTGCGAGAAGACTGACTTCCACTGGTGTATGTTGCCCTCATAAGAGTATACTCATCCAGGGAGGCTGAAGATACTTGGGGGGGACCCCTCGGTTGACGGGGGGTGGTGAGGGAGTATGTGCGCTTTCGATACACCTTGTCAAATTCTGGTAACCACCGGTAACCATTCTGGTTCTGACGCTCCATTACCATGTAGCCATCAAGCTCACTGCCATCCCGGGATGGGGGGGTGTCTGCTTTGAGGGACTCTGGAGTGTTGCTGCGGAGAGTAAGCGGTAACCTGAGGTCTCGTGCCTCCGCAGGGCTAGAGCCAAATTCCTCACATGATATAAAGCCAGCATCACTGGGAGAGCCTGAGAAGGATGCACTGCAGCTAGAGGGGCGAGGGGCACCGCTGTCTTGGCAGGAAGATGCATGGCTTGGACAAGCAGTGGTCACAGGTGGAGAAGGAGACAGAGGCATAGACATGGACTTACTATGCTGGAGGGTGGAAGATTCAAACGTCAGAGAAGGGCGTGCAGTAATGGTATGAGATCTGCTCAGCAGGGTCCTGTGGACCCCTGGACTAAGGGGGCTCCCGGTGACTGACATAGTGCGTGCCATGGTGCCGTCGCCCTCGCTCGCAGTGCGTAATCGACACGAGGAGCATTTGCTCACAGGAGAGGTCGCAGCCATGCTGTCAGTACGCGACCGCCGGGGAAGCCCGGTCTGCCTCGGGGGTAGATTATTCAGGTGCCTCCGCGAGGGTACAGAGATGGGGTTTGTACCAGAGGACTGGCTTTTGCTGCGCGGGCGGAATTCCGACAGCTCCTTCATGGCTTTCATGGCCTCCAAGATAGTTTCGTGAATGTTTTGAGCCACCACAGAGTCATCCGCCTGCATCCACAGCTCCCCCGGACCCGTGGATGCAGATCGGCCAACCTCTATGAAGAAAAAGCTGTCAGAGTGGCCGCACCTCCGGATATTCATCAGCTGCAAGGTGACTGAGGCAACATCAGAGTTAAGCTTAACGAAGCTGATAGTCCGGCTGGAGAGACACAGCCTGTACACCCCTGTTAAATTTCGACTCTGTCCGAGACCTTTAGATTTTAGATTTACTTGCCATACCTCCTTGTAGGCGGCGGTCACCGGCGTTATTACACCGTAGCTCGACTCGTCGTAGCCAACCAGCGAGGACGCAGAGTTAGACGCCGAGCCGTCATATACTTTCCCCTCTGCCATTAAATCCGTCAGCACCCGGTACCAGCTCTCCTGTTCCTGCTCGTTTTCCGTCGCCAAAGCAAAATACTCATCCTTGGTATAAAGAGCAATAAGATATTTGTATTTTGCGTCTGCTCTCTTGCTGATATTGAGACAGCAGTCCAGAGGGATGACTCTCTTCGGGGCCGATTTGTTTTTCCATTTCTTCTCGCTCTCGTAGTATTCCAACCGGGCAGGGAAACCTTCGCTCGGCTCCTTTAGAACAAAAAAGCGCTTATGTCCGTGTTTCTGCTTTTTCAGATATCCGCATTTCTTGATGCCGCTGTTTGCGTTACTGGCCAATAACGACTGATCACCGGTGTTCGGCGGACTCGCCATTCTCGCGTCCTCCTCTTATCAGACACAATGCTTCCGTTCCCTTTAGTTGTAAAAAGAAACGACTCGCTTTCTTTTAATCCTCTACTTCCAGAGCCGGTTTCACGTTAATTCGTCTTCTCCCACAGCCGAGCGATAAATAACACATGTCTGCTGGTGTCCGGGCCGAAGAGGGTGAAACAACATGTGACGATCTACACATTCAGCTCCGGTTTTAAAAAAAAGAAGGGAAAGGAGACGAAAAAAATACGCACTCACCAACAGTGGGCGGTGCGCACTCAGCTCATTGGGTTTATTGGTGGAAAAGGGATGAATGCTGGAGTGAGAAAGGAAAGAGAGTGAGAGCGAGAGAGCCCTCCTACTATCACTGCCCTCTTCCGACTCATTTGCGTGTAGTCAGTTAGGACTGTAGCTTTATTTATAGCATCCCTATTCCTATGATCCTTCGTTTGGCTTCAGTGTACGTTTTTTTTAGCAGGATATAGCCCGGTCCCAACTACTCAAACGAGATGTCCCCGATTCAGAAAACCATCATTTGCGTCATTTAAGGCGTTACGGGGTGGATTATGAAAAATATAACCTGAGTATAGATCCGTTATATGCACAGACCGAATATATGACACCTAACTGGTTTTATACACGTATAATTTACAGGTATTGTTTCACTGTCGGAAATTTTCTTACCATGGGTGTTTGTTTTTTCTCTCACTACACTTTGACCATATTTAAACTCTAGAGGGAGTCGTTCCAGTGTTCTCCAACTGGTAAACAAGCATCACCTGGTCGACTCTGCAGCTCTGGCACATGAATTTAATATTCCCCATGAGCCGTTCAGCCAGAAAAGCCTGCATTCACAGTGTAAGCGGGATATTCTCCCCCGTCCTCTTCCCCTTTTTTACTCTTAAGCGAAAGCACCCAATTGTTCGCGCGGAATAACTAGTACAAGAAATGACAAGAGCGCACAGAACGCAGTGTGTTTTATTGCATAATGCGGTTGCTTGCTGATTTATTCATGTTTGCCAGAGCTGCTCAGTTGCAATTTTTTTGTTTGTTTTTTGGTGGGTTTTTTACTGCTTCATCTCTGTGTTTGTCTTAACCCATTCAGAAACAGAGCGTGGCGGTGTGAAAACAGTTATTCTGGGGTGAACATATGCCCAAAATATCTAAGGCGATAGGAGGTTATAGCGTACAAAATCTTAAAAGTACTCCTTGTACACGAAACTAAAAGTACCCCATATATGGTCATATAACACAGCAGTCATGATGACGCAAAAAATTCTCCTGATCTCAATGCGTCAGCGGCTGGTAATGTGCGTAATGATAAAACGCGGGAGCAAACTGGGTACCGTGGCGGGATGGTGATCTGAGTTTGCTGCGGATAGCCAGTATTCTCTTTTTGACATCCTGTGGGACTGAAACTCCTCTTTTCTCGTCCAGCAGGAACGTCATGCTGCCAAGAGAAGGTACAGTGTGTCCTGACAGCTATGTATCCTGGGCCAACACAGTAAAAAGTGACACTGTAGTAACACTTTTGAATAGCTGCACATCCCACGATGATGACTTATTGAAATCTACCCCCCACCTCATGTTAATACTCCCGTTTTCCTGCAAATCCCACAGTGCTGGCTCAGCAACACCCTCTCCTTAGCGGCAAGGTCAATTACCGTGCCCTGCAGAGGTCAATTATGCCAACAGGATAAATTATTTTACTGCTGCCATGAGGAGAAGATTCCAATCAGGCAGCCAAATCAAGTGATCTGTCCTTCAAATTACCTTTAACGTGCGTGTTCCGTGCAGTTCCTTTCATTATCTGAACTCTAAACTGTGTTTACCTCAGCTATGAAGACATAGATATAAATAGATGTAACAGCGTCCAGTGTCTGAACGTCCTAGGCTCAAATATCTCCCAGTTGGATAAGGAGGGTTCCCTGGCTCTTGATATTAGGTTTCCTACATGACAGACACACACTTGGTTCTGAACTTTCACACACTCCACACACAAATGGACACTTTTCACGGCCAATTTGAGTAACATTTACAGTATTTACTGTTGCTTAAATCTCAGATAAATTATGAATCGAGTCTCAGAAGTGTTTCAAGTGCAGGACAGCTTTCCTTGTATAATAGCTTGACCTGACATTGGAAAGATAAACAGAAGCCGAGTGGAGGTGGTATGAAGTGACTACAGGGGCACAGAGTGACTCTTCTTTTTTTTTTTGCAAAACCCATGAAGCATAAGAAATGCAAATTAGCTGTCTGTAAAATACCAATAGGGGTGTTTACCGAGCATGCTGCTCACAAACTCAATCTGGTGATGTCTGTGGTATGCCCTTGCCCTTTTTCCTTAGGTAACTACATGAATATTTATCACCTTCCAATTTACACAGCACGGTGCATTAATTTACAAGTTAATTAAAGGGCCAACCCAATCAGATTTATAAAGCTTTAAATGGGCCCTCTCATCGTCTCCTGCAATGGACCTATTGCATCTTTATAGTTTTATTTATTTAGGCATGGAAAAGGTCGTGACTCTCCAAGCAGAGTGGTTCTTTCTCCTCTGGATATATATTCCTTGCCTCGTGTAAACAGTGAGCAAGCAACAGCAAGAGGTTAAATAAAGACTGACATAATACAGTCTAGTTTATAGAGTATAAGTCTAATAGATTGTCTGAGTTCACTCAGAAGCCACTGCCTTTGAGGACCTAATCTCATTTAGACTCTTTCAGCTCACCTTCAAATACAAACAGCTTCGCTTGGCCCCCTTGCTGAGTAAGAAGCTCATAATGTCTCAGTCACCCACAGCACTGTCACCATGTGCAACGATTAGTTTCATAAGCTTTCATAAAGTAGATTACAATAACCGAAATGACGAGATAGGATTAAGGGCAAGCGCTGGAGAGGGATCAGGGGAGAGGGAGAGGAGGGGGTAAAGATTAGGATCAGTCATACTCCAGTCACTGTTACATAAGAGCTGATCAAATGAACAGTACAAACACACACTGTTTATTAAACATCACACACACACACACTCCTCACCCGGTCTTTGCTTCATCTTATTTGTCAAAAGGCAAAACAGATGACAGTCAAAGCCCGGAGTGTCTGGCTCATATTGTTGTGGCGGTGTTGTTTTGATGTTTGTGGTCTGAATATAATCCTGATGTCATTTATTGTTCATAGTAAAGGACAGTTCTTTGGTTTTAGTTTTGTTTGTTTTCTTGTCATGAGTTGTTGTGTGAGCCACTGAATACTTTGAGCTTTGCTCCAACTCGTGCGACTGAGACTCATCTGCTAATCAATTTTTCATGAGACAGTGAATAGATCTACTTCTTATTCAAGTTTTATAACAATTAGAAAGTCATATTTCACATGGCTTTCTCCTGAGGTGAATTTTATCTTGCTGCATCAGTTAGCATTTGTTCATAAGTCTCTTTTGCAACATGACACGAACTGAAAGACCTCTGGTATATGTTGTCCATCAAATGAGAAAGGTGTGTTTGCGACAGGGGAAGGGGCCACTATATTTACCATAACGAGGTCAGAAAAGCCCTTTAAATGACTGAAAAATTAAAAAAATATCTAAGAATAAAATAAAATAACACTCTTGGTCATCACTTTCTTAGCTTGTCGAGCTTGGGTAACTTGCCCTTTCTTTTAATTACAAACATCATTCTCGACTGATCCTTTAATTTCTTAAACCCAATGCTTTTAACAAGAAATGATAATGGAAGCTGTTTTTTCTCCTCTCAGGTGCGCATCGTATAGATTGCTGCACTCAGTCTCATGTTGTCACCAGTAATTTACTCAATTCTCTAATCAATACAGCAATTTCAGTAAAATTGAAATTTCTCTTGTTCTTAATTTTTGCGGGGATTGATCTGAGGCGGGCTGACCCGTAGGAAGGATGACGTGCGCTGATGGAAATCTTTGTGTTATTGAGCTACGGCAAAAGTGATTACTGTTTTGATTACCTCAGTGGGCCAATTCATCGGTATGGACTTGTTCTATCTGTTATTATCAGTCTGCAAGTTGGACACAGGGTATGCATGGATGTGTAGAGTGGCGCTCGAGTTCTAGATTGCTATATTGAAATCAATGTGCCACTTGTGTTGTGTAATGTTGCTTGTGCATGTTTGATGAAGAACCGTGGCGCTCCACGGCAGAGTGAAAATTTCCCTCTTTGCCACGATCCGTGCCCTATCTCAACACATTGTTACGACTTCATTTTAAACCTCAGTTGTGCAGATACTCAGAAATGACAAGGGTTTTTCTCATTTCACAGGTCACTGACACTGGTATTTATTCATTATGCTAATTAGAAAGGGCAGAAGCCATATCGCGCATACGCAGCTCTAGCGTGCATATGTGAGTAGAAGAGAAACCAGTGATAATATGTTTATGTAGGCCGGAGACACATAGGCAACATATTTATTAACGAGCACCACGTCCCCCGGCAAATTACTCTTGTGGCCACACACGGCCTGCCATCTAAAACTCAGCTGTGTTTAGCTTTGATTAAACAGATGCAATGTCATCATCAGTTATTTGTCATAATTATACATTATCAGGAGTCGCTGTTTAGATATAAATGACAATGATACATGAGTCTGTCTGCCTCAGTCAGAACAGGGGAAACCAGTGATTGTGACAGAAGGAGGATTTTAAATAAACAGATTAAGTATGTGCATGTGTGTGCGTGTGTGTGTTTCACATGCAAGAAAATGTATCATCAGTTTTTTGGAAAACAGACTGCAGTTGGATCATCCGAGGCCAGAGAGTAAGGCAGCTGACAGTGATATGTGGCAATTTATTGATTAGCTGAAGGCCTGTTTGCTTAATAGGAGCATATTTCTTTTCGTCATCCTCCAATGGCGTAACGACACATCAGTGTGCAGATATTGTTTAATTTGGGTCAGTGAGAGAGAGTTCACACGTATATTAGTGAATGAAGGATAAATGAATGTACAGTGGGTACACATTATTCAAAAATGAACAGAGCAGTTTTTAAAAAGGAACTGTGTAGGAGGGTGTAGGAAGTTATTCATTCCTCTGTGTGTGTGTGTGTGTGTGTGTGTGTGTGTGTGTGTGTGTGTGTGTGTGTGTGTGAGCGTAGCATGCATTGATTGTTTTTTCAACTAAGCCTCATCTGACTTACGGATCTAATATTCATTCCTTTCTCACACATACTCTATTGTTTTGTTTTTTCACTCTACAAACACATTCATGCTACACTCAAGCACACAAATGCTTACAAACATATATCTTAGCAGAGAAATGCCAACCATAACCCAGTATAAGCTGTTGTACCGCCAAAACAAAGAGCATTGGAATGTAACCTTTATTTAACAGGACAAAATCCCACAGAGACTCAGTTTCA